TTAAGTTAGTTCATTCCCCAAAAAGGTGCGTTTTCCTGCAAGTAGGATTCTTTGAGGCTTTACTCTTCAATAAGTGAAGGATTAGCACCCAAAGCAAACCAGTGTGTGATTTTGTTTATAACTTAAATGAGGTGGATTAAGCGGTTAAGCAAGAGGAGAGGAGTTACCCATGCCCATGCCCATGGCAGAGCATCTCACCTGCCTCTCGTTGGGATTAATGAAGGTCCAAATTGGTAAGTGATGACCAAACCTGTAAGTGATGAGTGACTCTACTACTAAGTAAAAATCAACACAAAATACTCCTAACCTGAAATGGTATGGGACAGCAACACTTAAAATGGTAAAAAAATGGTATAGGGCACCAACACTTAAACTGAGTTCAATATATTTGATTTTGACTCATCTATGACTTCCCTTGCTTAGTATATAATGAATTTTGAAGATTTGCAGGATACTAATCCCATATCAGAATAATTCTTTTGTTCACTGTCTTGTGAAAAGCATACGAGAAAAAACACATTAACATAGAAAGAAGAGTCTATTAAATAGGCATTATATCTGTGTATTTGCACAGGATTTTTGGCAGACCTGTGCTTTATTATAATGCCTAGAGTGGGGGGATGGAAGTCTGCAATCTGTAGATGGCAAAATGACTTTCTGAAGCTGATCCTCGCTGGGCTTGCTGTTTTTAATACCAAATATCAAATGGTACAGACAGGGATATCACTCATCTGGTCCTCTCACTGACTGGGTAATTGAAATGGTAAATCAAACAGTGATTTTTTTTAACTCATTCTCTTTGCCTCTCTCTCCTGCCTTTAATGAACACTCCCCCACACACACATACTTTTTTTTTTCCCCCCAGCCCCACTCAATGTACACAACAACATATTCTTTAGGATAAAGATGGCTTGTTGTCATGGCAACGACATTGCTAGGCAACAGAGGTCCTGCTTTGTTGCCGAGCAGCAGCAGTGTACTTAGCAGTATCTTAGCATGCCTGGAAGAGGCCTTGTGTTGGTACATTGGAAATGAACCACCAGCAGGCACAGTCTGGGTATTTGTGAATTGGGGAGCGCCAGGAGAAAGAAATTCTTAAAAGGCTCAAAGGAGAATCTGATATCATCTGGGAATTTAATTTATCATGTGCCGTGCATGCCATTATGAATCTTCTGTGATTCTCTCTGCTGCTGTTTATTAGACCAGGGATGGACAACTCCTGCCCTCACAGGACAGAATCCTGCAGAGTTTACTTTTCTACCAGAAAATGATTAAGATCTAAAATAAAAACTGGAGATATTTCTTCCTATTAAAATCACCTGTGCAATCCATGGCTGGAATGAAAACGGAGAACAAAGACTGCATCTGCCCATCTGTGGTCCAGATCCTGGTCATGCAATCTGACCAGGAAAGCATTACTTTCTTGTTGAGATTCAGATTTCACAACCACATTTTCTGGAGGTATGTGCCTCAGCTGTCTGAAGGCACGTTAAGTGCCTGGTGTCTAAAAAGAAACTATTTCAATCAGTTCGTGTGCTCAGGGGATTGTAGGACAGCAAAACTCTCAGAATCCTAACTTTCTCACTCCACGATTTGTGACTGGACTTAAGCTATGTCTGCTGAGAGAATCCATTAGTCCTCATTTAAGAACTGACAGGTGCAAATGAAGCCGAGAAACATGGCTAGACAAAAAAAAAGATCCTATTTTTTTGGTGTCTCAGGGAGATACCAGCACCGCCTAATGAAAATGCAGGATGCCTCATTCGCCACCTGGCTCTGCAGTTACAGGGTGCTTGACTAGGTCCCTTGAGGCTTTATGGGTTTTGCTTCAACCATCACCAGCATCAGAGATCAGGAGTCAAGGTGAAATCTTCCAAACTTAACAAATAATTTGTTTTAGCAGGCTGGCAGGAAGATCCCCTGCAGACCCCTAGCACTCTCAGTGTCAGATACAGTGCCCCCCTAGCCTCGATCTGTCACACACACTCACTGAGCTCCTGCTCTGATCAGGCCATTTCCCAAATTCCAAATTTCAGACGTAGTTGGTGGTGCAGGGAGGTGGGACCACACTGACCTTGGCTCGGACCCCCGTCTCATTTTCAAAGGCGCTGCGCAAAGCCAGTTTTTGTGCATGCGTGTGTGCATGCATTTCACATCAGTGACCTCAAAAAAAGCAAATACCCCGGCCTCTGGCTCCTACCCATCCCCTCCCCCTCGACCTTAAAAAAAAAAAAAATGCAATGAATTTTAATAAGCTGCTCGTTTTAACCACCAGCTATTCCAGAAGAAAATAATAATAAAAAAAAATACAATACAAAGCCATCCGCTAGAAAACTCATCTTCAGGCAAAATAATCTGTGTCATTTACCAAACAGATTGGAAAAAAAAATGAGAGAGAAAAGCACATTAGAATTCCATCAAGCTCTTCTGCAATCCGGTGCCCTGCAATCAGAGATGTCGAGCTGCAGAGAAAGTCTGTCTAGACACAAGGAAACAGGGAACACAGCTTTATACATTCAGCTGTCAGTCTTGCTTTTTTAATAACTTATGAATTATGTATAGCTGTGTGTGATTTTTTTTATTATTTGCAGCATGAAATATATTCAACTGCCTCCACTGTGTTTTCAAGCAGGCTGTCTGCGCTTTGGTGATCAGAACATTAACAGTGCAGGGATATTGCTTTTTTCTGAGGCTCTGTTCTCATTTCAGGAGGCAGGATGAGTTCTGTGACACCCTTTGCCTTCCAGAAAGTCTGAAGAGAGGAACAAGCAGATGCACCCAAGAGGGCCACCTGACTATTTCTTGCCCTTCTCCTTTATTTATTTTCCAGGGCTGGTGAAAGTAGAGACTGCATGCCATATCACAGTCACAAGCCGTACCATATAATATATGCATGAAGCAGGGGTATCTAACACAGAGGTTATTTTATTTTTTAATTTCTCCTTAAACTACAGTTTTCAAGGTGTGAATATCACATATGTTACACAGCATTCGAGTGACACTCAGCTGCTTCCCTTCCCCAGATTTTTAGATGCCTCTTCTGGATTGCTAATTTGCTCATTTGGCTGGGATAGCCAAGCAATAGTAAATCCCCACTCCAGCAAAAACAGCAGCAGGGAGTCACACAGAACGCACAGAATGGCACGAGCAATGGGCGAGCAGGACATGAGAATAGATTCATCCTCCTTTGATTCCAGCTTCTGATCTCAAGCCAGAGCCTCTTTGTTAGGGGTCCTGATGCCCCCTGATATCCGTACAGATACTCTGAGGAGGGCATCCCCACACTGAATAAAGAAAAATTCCAGCTAGGATCCTGTAGGATTTAGCACAAAAATCCCAGCAACTACCTTACGGGACTCAGAGTGGGAATTCCAGGGGAAGAGTCCTGAAGGAAAATAAAATATTTTATGTGATTTTTCTTCTGGATGGGGGGCAGAAGAAGGTCCTGGACACCATTCCCCCCTCACATGGTGAGCACAGTATGAAAGCCTTAATGCGACTCACTAATCGGTGCAACTGTCTACAACGAAGGCGTACGGATGGAGGACCTGTTGGCTGTTGCTTTACTCCAGATCTAAAAACCGAAAGGAAGCACACAATCCTTTCTCTGAAGCTGACCGATCTGCGTTGGACACAGTTACTATGTTGAAGAAGGGCTTGAGGGCAATTGCGCCGTTCTCAACCTGGTCACTCTTCACTCTGTTACTAATGTTGGGGTCACTCTCACGAAAGATCAGGACACCTCAAATAAAGCTCAATCTTCAAGGATCACCGTCCAGCTGAGACGCTCATTTACCACCCGCTCCACGCCCAGGGAACAGGGTTAAAGAGTTCTAATTAAGAATGAAGACAATGACAAGCTCAGCTGGAACTCGCTCCCAGCTGACCCGCGTCGGGGTACGGCAATGTGGGAGCAGCAGGCGTGAGCAGGGACTG